ACATGAGGCCATGGTAGCCACCAGAACTAGGGTGGAAATGGTCTAAGATGCACTACACTAGCCACACTCATGTGAAAGGGCCACACTCTTAGCTTTCCATCAAAAGAAAATGAAGACAATTAAATTTCAGTGAAGAAAAATGATGAGTAAAATATTGAAAAGTACAGCAGGAAGGCACCTAAGGTTAATCATTCATTTCATATAGGAAGAAGGGATTTTCTTTTTTTTCTGATTTTCCATATTGTTAATTGGTGCATTATAGGTGCACATAATGGTGGGATTTATTGCTACATATCAGTACATGCACACACTACAACAATATAATGTGGCCAGTATCATTCCCCAGCAGTTTTCCTTTCCCTCTACTCCTCCCTTCCCTAGTCCCTTTTTGTACTCTACTGATCTCCCTTCAATTCTCATGAGATTCCCCGATCTTTCTCTTCCTTTTTACAGAAGAAATGATTTTTGTGGACAAGAAGCAATTTCCTCCAAGTCGCTGTAAAGATAGCTCTGGGATTCATGTTCAGAGTTCTAGACTCTAATTTCATTCTCTTTCAGTGTATATCACGTTGCTTCCCAACAGTAAGCTCTGTGAGGGCAGAAACACCCAGCCTGTTTACACCATCACATTCCCAGGTCCGAAGCCAGCTCCTGACATACTGAAAGCACTCAGTAATATTTATTGAGTGTTGGAGTGAATGTGAGATTTCTTAAATCTTCCTTTTCCTCTAAGAGTGATCTTTAATAAATTATTTTAATGTAAATTCCAGAGCACAGAGATCATGTCTCATGATTCTTTATGGCCTTGCTCCCAGCCCTCATGCCTAGCCTACTCCTTTGTCAAGAGAGAAGCTCAATGAAATTGTTGGTGAGAAAAATAGTTATCCAAGGGATAAATATAACTTTATTGTTGTTACCTACCTGTGATCTGATTTTCTATTTCCCCTTGCATATGCAAAGACTCCATATAGACAGTGCGGTTGCCAATAAATCGTGCACATGCAATCCCTCTGTATGGCTGACAGAATCCATCTTCTTCATACTCATCTCTAAAAACAAAGCGTAGTGGTTATCTAATGTACCAGTTAGTCAGCACTCACTGTGCAATGCCCTTAAGTGCCACTAGGGGGCACATTTGGGCATAGTATCCTAAAGACAGCTAAAGAATCAAGCTTTTGCTCAGTTCTCAAAACATCACTTAAAACATCTGTTGGTCACGTTGGTCAAGTTTCCTACACCCCCAGAAAATCATCCTGAAGCACAAAATCGTCCTTAAATATGGGAGAAAACGCTTTTATTTTCGCAGCTGGTGGTGGGCTGGAAGATGATGTAGTTGTAAGAGTAAAGAGGAAATGAGTTGGAAATCTGGGCACATGTTCTACAGTTTTTTGTTTTTTAAGCACAGATTATTTCTGCTTCATTTGCTACAATGGCGTGGGTGTATTAGCCACAAGATCCACTCCAACTGACATGTCAATTAGGGGGATCCACAGGGTAAGGAGCTGGGTGCAGCTAGAAGGAACCAGAGTGTAGCCTGGAGAGGTGGCTTCTTACTGCTTGAGACCTATGCTATGCAGAAAGACAGCCTACACAAAGCCACAGACCTGAAAATTTGAGTTGAGTCACTAAATCTACAGGAATTTGGAGAAAATGTCTTTGGAAGTCTTGCCTTAATGTTACCCTAAAATTAAAAGAAAAAAAGTCTTACTAAAATTTTGCTACCTCAAAATAATAAGTAAAAGAAGAAAGTAGATTTCATCTTGAAGACAAAGGGATACCAGTTAATTATTAGCACTGTGGCAAGTGATGAACCTGGAGATGTTAGTTTTATATTAAAAGGGCAGAGGCTATACCTTCCCTAAAATGGGCCCAAGACAGAATATAGAACATCCACCTGTTTCTCAAAGGAAGATCATAGCTATGTCAAAAGCTGCCTGCTTTTGATCTCTACCCTGGATGCTTCTTTTCTGCTCAATCTGGCTGCTGTCAATACATCTCCACAAAATATCATTTCCCTCTTGGGTTTCTTCTAAGTTAAAAGCCAGGAAAACAATATTTCCTTTCTGGGTTTAACGTGTGGGCATCCTTAGGTAAGTCCTCTATGTCCTCTGAGCCATGTTTTTCTTATCTATAAGATGGGGATGACAGTTGATCTCTCTAGCTTCCAAGTATAAGTCATAACAATCCCATCAAATAGGGCAAAGGCCTTTTAAATGGCAGAGATGACATTGATTATTATTAAAGTATTTACAAGACTCAAAGAGGAATTTTGTTTAAAAGGCATTTACTAAGCTCCTATCCTGCAACACAGACTGTGGTCAGGGCTTTGGTGAAGGGCTTCCCCACTTGTGTTGGTGGGGTGAGGGTCAGTACAGGAGTCTAGGAAGCCCACAGTACAGCAGCAAACCAGAAAAGAAAATCTGATAGACAGTTATATCCATCAGTTTTCTATTTCCCACTCTACACCAGTCAGTTTGAAGGTGGGGGTAGGGTAAGTATCTTTAGTTGAGTCTCAAAAATAGCCTGTATTGCAAAGCTCTTAAAATCTTAACCTTTAAGTACACATACAAACGAATATATTATATACCTGACATAAAGACATTGAAATTTTAATGTTGTGCAATCCTGCAAGCACTCCATATGTTTACTTTCATAAATCCTAGAGTAATGTTGAAGCCTTTTTGGCTTAAATTTTACTTGGGTTGTAAAATTAACCCAACTTTTATTGGGTAACTAATACCATAAACCTATGGGGAGAAGGAAGGTTCTCGATGACCTAGCCTTGGATGCTGTAAACCTAAGTAGAGACCAGAATCCACCCCCACACCACCCCTGCTATTAGAGACTATGCTTTCCTATCCCTCAGCATTAGCAGATCCCTGGATATTGAAGGTGTCATTATGAGAACCCTTCGTCCTCCCCTACTTAAACTCTGAAGGCCTCAATTTATATCTCTTGGGAGGACAAAACCCTGGAATTACCCCCAGATATAAATCCCCAACCTACTGGGAGTTCCCATATTTTATGTGTGAAGCTTAGGCTAAACTTCTTACCACCTTTCCAGTTCAAGCCTCTTAAAAAGACTCTTTGAATATATATATCCCCCCCCCCCAAAAAAATAAAATGGAATGCAATTCCTTAGCTGCCCATTTCTTATCAAGGGGTTACAGCTGCAGGTGTATTGAATTTTTTTTGTTTGTTTGTTTTACTATGCTTAGAATTCCTGCTATTCTGACCAATTTCCTGGGGACAGATATTTTCAAAAACCAAAAAGCAAACCAGTATGTAACGTCATCTGCTGGTGAGCAGTTCTCAGCCCTGGCTGCTTGTAAGAATCTCTTGAGGCAGCTTTCAAAAATACCAGTGCTCAGGCCCCGCCTTGGACCTATTAAATCATACTCTCTGGGGGCAAGGCTTAGGAATTCATACTTAAAAAAAAAAAAAAAACCCTCCCAGGTGATTTGAACGTGGTGAAGAACCACAGCACTAAAAAAGCAAACTCCTATTAAGCATCTGCTCCTCTGTGCTGCATGCGGTGTGAGGTGATTTCTTCATAGCATCTTTATTTCACAGGAGGAAACACTGTGGTTCAGAGAAGTTAAGTAGCTTGAAATTCACAAAGCTTGGAAGTGGTGGAGCTAGGATTTAAAGGGAAAAATTCAAAGCTCGGGCCATGTTGCTGGATCTGTAACTGTGTTCAGTTTTCCAAGACTGTTCTCCATCAGAAACAACTTGATTGTAAGTAAGAGACTTTCTGATGAGCCTTTATCCTGTACCAAGCCCTGCTGAGTTCCATATATTTATAAAATAGTTTGTAAGTCATCTCATATTGACTGGAGTCTTCTAAAGAAGGTGCAGTGTAATTATTCCTATTTTACAGATGAGAAAACTAAGGGGCCAGAAAGCGTGAAGAACTTGTCCAAAGTTGCACAGCAAGCAGAAGAGCTAGATTTGTCCTAATGGAGTGCTTGTAACCATACTGTATATATATATATTTTTTGCCCCAAATGGTTTGGTTATGGAAGTTCCTGCACTTCTTACAGGGGCTTTCTGCTGTGGAGATGCTTTAGTGTATACTGAGTGGCAAAAAGATTTTCTTTTAAACACAGTCACAATCACCTTTCATTCCTTCCAATTTTCCTTGCTGGCTTTGGCTGGGGGAGAACAAATACTCCACAGCATTAATCAGCTTTATGCTTTTTTCCAGCTCACACTTCTTTCATCACTGATGTCTTCCTGCCTCACTCCATGCTCTGCAAATTAGAAACATGAAGCGGCAAAGCAGCTGAAGGGCAAGGGCACTTGCAGTTATCGTGTCCAAGGCCACGTTCTGCGGAGGAGGAAAGTGCATGGTGAAAAGGCAGACGGAACCTGGCTGCTCATTGCCATGGTCAGCATGAGCATGCGCCAGATACCTCCCTGGATGTAGAGGTGCAGAGGGTGTTTTGCGGGAACTTAGGTTTCTCATAGAGGTAATTTAGTTACCATGTTGCCAGCCTCTGCAACCTTCCCAGTTTGCTGTCATGGAATTGGGAAAGACAGAAAACGTTTTGCCCTCCACTTCCAGGGTCTCATTCCCTAGGGCAAAGAGTTTATAAAGGATGATGAGACTTTGCGAGAGTGCAGGTGGCACCTTGGGGCAGCAGTGGGAGTATCTATCCATTAAGCTCTGAAGAGCCAGGAAAAGCAACACTGTTCTATGGAGACTTCATCTCATGCCTGTTCCCAGCCTCGTTCCCTGCCAGGTGTAGTGAACCTGGTAATACTAGCCACACTAAGGATCTTGCAAGTCTCAAAATAAAAAATGCACTTTGATGCTCCTGTGGCTCGGCTTGCACTCTTTCTGAGGCCTGAATGCCTCTACCCTCCTTTCATCTGTGAATGTCCTTCTCATTTTTAGGATCCAGATGCTCCCAACTCCCCCCAACTCTCAGCACCTTGGTCAAACCATTCTATGGAATACTAACTTTATATTATACCCTTCTGTTTATTGCTCACTCACAAATCAACCTAATTGAGGTTGTGGTGACTGTCCTAGGCTAGCCCACTGTATGGACCATTCTCCATACCAGAAACATCCTCCTTACTGGGAATCATTTTCTTTCTCAGAAGAATAATAAAGGGAATGCGCAGATCTAATAGATTTAATTAGCAGAATGGATGATTGCTAGTGAATTTGGCCCTAAAATTCCCCGTTTGGGGGAAATACAATAGTTAAAATGAATACTTATATGTGGGAAGAGAATGGATATAGAGGTGTTTTGCTAACCATAAAACCTAACTGAAACCAAAGGATGGAAAACAGGTACTCAATTAGCTTCGACACAAAAACATTCACAGCAGCACAATTCACAGTAGCTGAAAGGTGAAAGCAATTAAAATTTTCATCAACAGATGAATGGATTAACAAAATATAGTTGATACACAGGGTAAACTACTATTCAGCCATAAAAAAGTAAAAAAGTACTGAAACATGCTACAGTATGGAAGAACCTCCAAAACATTATGCTGCTGGGTGTGGCGGTGCATTGTGTCATTGCAGTGACTTGGGAGACTGAGGCAGGAGGATTGCAGTTCAAAGCTAGACTGGACAACTTAGTGAGACCCTGTCTTAAAATAAAAATAAAAAGGTTTGGATGTAGTGCAGTGGTACAATGTCCCTGATTCAATCCCTAGTACTGAAAAAAAAAATATGCTAAATTATATAAGCTGAACACACACACAAAAAACCCCACATATTGCATGATTCCCTTTATATGGACTATTCAGAATAGGTAATTCACAGAGACAGAAAGGTTGGTGGTTGCCAGGGGTATGAAGGCAGGAATGGGAAGTAACTGCCTAATGAGAGAGGCAGTGTATGTGCCACACTGTGAATGTGCTAATTATACTGAATTGGTCACTTTAAAATGGTTAATTTTATGTTTCGTAAATTTTGCCTTAATTTAAAAATATCTCATTTGTACAAGAGGGCTGAGGTGGAGGTCCAGGGAGAGGCCAGTGGCTAGATTTCCAAGTCTTTGAGGTGAGGAGGGGTTTTGGTATCCTTGTGGGTGACTGTCACAGATTCATCTGATGGAAGTGTGGGCAATTTACAGAGCATCTGCAGTATGGTACCTCTGTCCTGATTCTCACGGCTCTTGGAGTGGACTGGCAGGGAAAGTGAGCTCCATAAGCCCACAGCATGGCAACCTCATGGGGAGGTCTGCAGGGAACAAAGTCATCCAGCACCTCTGAAGTTACCCCCTCAGCCCTCCTACAGGCCCCATTATGAGCCACGGGAGATGACATCATATCAGGACCACAGAGCCAAGACCCAGGCCACCATGCAGCAGTGGGAGTTTCCATCCAGGAGGATTTGGTGTCCCTAGGTGTGCTCCAGTGAGCCATCTAGCAAAGGTGGGTTATTTCTTTTCTATGTGGTTAGCATTTTCTCTTTTCCAGAGCAAAAACAACTTCCCAGTGCCTTCCCAAAAGATCATCATGGCCCAATATGGATGGAAAGTATCCCTTTTTAAAATGTGTAAATTGGGCAACCTATTGGCAAGATTGGTTAAAAACAAAGCCACATATTAGCTTTAGATATTCCAGGCTCCGTGTGAAGTTTCCCAGACACCCTTGGGTGATGCGGTCAGATCACTTAAAGTTGAAAATTAGGTATAACAAAAGCAAAACCAAAATACAACAAAAACTTTCCACATAGTAAAGAAAATAATTAACAGAGAGAAAAGATAACCTGCAGAATGGGAAAAAGATATTTGTAAATTATTCATCCAACAAGGGGTTAATACCAGAATATATATATTTATATATATATATATATTCAACTAACTCCTCAGCAAAAACAAAACAAAACATATAAACAAACAAAACAAAATAATCTGATTTTTAAAATGGGTATGTGATGTGAATACATATATTGTAAAAAAAAAAATATATATATATATATATATATATATATACACACACACAAATGGGTAACAAATATATGAAAAAATCCTCATCTTCACTCATCATCAAGGATTTGATATTCTGTCCTTTGTGGCAACAATGAATGGAAGTGAATAATATAATATTATATAAAATAAGTCAAGTATATGACATGTTCTTACCCACATGTGAAGCGAAATGAATTGATCTAATGGAAGTAGAGAATAGAATGGTGGCTACCAGAAGCTAGAAAGGGTAATGATTGGGTAAAACAATAAAGTGAGATAGGAAGAATCAGTTCTAGGATTCCATATATAGAGTACAGCATGGTGAAAATAGTTTAAAAGTTTATTGTGTAATTCAAAATAACTAGGGGAAATGATTGTGAATGTTCCCAACACAAAGAAACGATAGAGATATGTTAATAAGCCCAATTTGATCATCACACATTGTATACATGTATCAAAATAACACTGTAAATATAAATAAATATGAACAATTGATATGTATCAATTAAAAGAATTTTAAAAGGGGACTTTATAGTAAAATTAAGGATCCAAGTAAAGGTCACAGAATTAGTCCAAGCAGATAGATCAGAGACAAGAAGACTTTAAGAACAGGTTATAATCAGATATTGCCTCAAAAGTTATCACCTATCCAAAAATATCTCCTTCTTTTTCCCAAGAGGATTTTGAGCCTGGAAATATCTTTAGTTAACTGCTAACCAGGATGAGGTGACATAATTTGAATCATACTGGCTTTAGCTACGCACATCTTGGAATGAGGCCTTTTGGTGAAAAGGCATCTGCACAGGTACAGGCAGACACGTGAAATGAGCTAGTCCGAATAAAGAACATGATGGAAAGGGAGCTGTCAAGCGCACCAAAAGCAGACTTTGCCTCCGGCTGACTGTGGTCAAGAAATTACAGGCGAAATACGTGATCCCAAAGTGATCTCACAAACTGTTTTCTAAAGACCAGTCTGAAAGTGGGCATCAAAGAAGGTAATGTGCTAACATATTTGACCTTTCAGGTCAATTTTCAAAGGGAGCCAATCAAGGTATGTCCCCCAGAGGGTGGATGACACAGGGAGAAGACTCCAATCTGTCAGGTCAGGAACTCAGCTAGCTCTGACATCCCGTTGTCTGGTGTTGAAATGCCTTTGTAAGCACAGGCAATTTTGAGGTGACTGTGTCCAATATCATGTGAGGTTCCCACAACTGGGCACTGACAACTGTGAACATTTATTCCCTTGCTCTGTCTCACACCACTTTTTTGCTTTAAAAAAAAAATTAAATCAAATTTCAAGGTTTTCCCCCTCTCTCTTGGCCATGAACCATTTAAACAAACAGATGAATAATGTCTGTCATAGTTTCCAGAACAACACATAATAGTTACTTGTTTTCAACTCAGAAATGGGAAGACATTGGCTTTGCTTCACGGTAATGTTTGGGAACACAAGGGTTGCACTGCTCTTGGAAAAAGAGAAGAATCACCGGGCTTGTATCTCGCAAATGTAATTTAAAGGAAAATGATACATGTAATGTACTTTATTCCTAATAAACAATATATTTGAAATGATAGGACTGCACTAGTACAGTGCTCATAAGAATAAAAAAGATCGTTAATAAAAAGAATGAGTGATTTTTGTCATCTTCAGTTTACTGAAGTTTTCATGGTAGGGTGGCCTTGTACCTTCTAAAAATGCCTTGGATGTTTTTATGTTTTCCTGCTGTCAAAGGCCTACATTGCCCCTAAGGTTAGGCTGAGGCTGGGAATGCATAGGTGACAGTTGGAGCCCTCAAGGTCAGGGCCCTTGAGTTCTCATTAGAAATCTTACGGATGTGCTTTGGCAGCTCTCCAAATACCAGGTATTCGAACTGCTCCCCCAACTTGCCCATTGAGAATAATGGGACTCTGGAATAATATGGAATTCACACATACCAGTGTGGGCAGATTTTCTACCACAAATGTTGCTAGGATTGCTTCCCCCAACTCCCTATTTTCCTTGTATACTTTTGGCCATGTTTAAAAAAAAAGAAAAGAAAAAGAAAAAAGAGGTTTGTGGAAAGAGTGGTAAGTGGAATTTAGGGATGTTTTGGGAGGATTTAATTTCATTTTACTACTCAGAAGTGAGGTGAAACCCAATCCCCAATTCTTGCTTTTCTGTTTCATCTCAGTCAGCTTTGTCTCTTACCCCTGCTGTCACAAGACAACTGGCTTCCATGCAAGGATGGTGGGTAGAATTCCATCCCCAATCCCCAGGCCCCAAAGGGCAATGCAGAGGTGCCCACGTGAAACAGAATCTTATAATTTTTTAAAAATTATAAGAGTAGAAATTCACACTAAAATAAGGATTAATTTGTGATGCACCAAATGAGATTAAGCAGACAAGGAATATCTATTAAATAAGGGTTCTCTGGGACACTTGTGAAACCCAGCGAGCTCTTTAGGAGAATGAGGAATAGGGGTGGGTTATGGAGGTCTTTAACTGGAGTGGGAAAGTGCAGGCAGAGGGAGGGGAGGGCTTTTACACTTGGCCTCCAGATACCAACAATGCCATCTCTGTCCACAGGCTAGTGTGGAGGAGAAATTTAATCTCTATCCCCCATTTTCATCCCCTGCCCCCTTTCCATCCCTTCTTCTCTTTAGCCCAGATGTGTCTTGAAGCACTGTGCTGAGAATCAAAGAGGGGGCAACTACTTGAGACTAAAAAGGCTTCTGAGGAGGTGACTGCTTAAAAAAGGAATAATTCATCAGGTCATGGATTAAACAGTATGCTGGCCAAGGCAGGTGGAGTCAGAGGCAGGAGCGAGGTTTAATAGAAGTAATGGTAAGAGGGCAGGGGTTGTCCAAGACAGGCCCAAGGACAGGGTCTTCACTTGGGCTGGGGAGATAGAGAGGCTCAACTTTCCATTCTTTTTCTTCCTTCCTTCTTTCTTTCTTTCTTTCACAAAACTTACATTTAGATTCCTATAATTTTTTAAACATAGTCTTATTTTAAACTTGCTACCTTAAAATCATAGTCACAAAAGGAAAGGGGATGGATTCTATGCCAAAGACAAGAGGGCACCAAAGAGTAGTGTGGTATGTCCATGGTGATACAGTACGCAGAAGGCAGTGTATCCAGCCTTTTCCACGGAGAGCTAAGCCTATGCCACAGGTGGCAGAAAATGATAAAGGGCCCACAGGCAGAGCTGGTGTGGAAGGGGACTGTGAACTCAGGGCAGACACATGACTTAAAGCTCTCCCTTAGGCCTGTTTATCAGCTCATACAGATATGCAGTTGCAATGGGGAATTATGTTTTGAATGTGGGGTATCTTCCAAAAGCTCATGTGTGAGACAATTCAAGAATGCTCAAATATGACATGATTAGATTATGAGAACTGTGACCTAATCAGTGGATTAAGCCCCTTAAAAGAGTTAACTGGGTAGTGAATGTAGACTGTAGTTGAGGAAGTCACTGGAGGCTTGATTTTAGGGTTTATATTTTGTCCCTGGTAAGAAGAGCTTCCTCTATCTCTCTCTCTCCCTCACCTCCCTATCCCCATCTCTCTCTCTCTCTCTCTCTCTCTCCTTCTTGGTTGTCACAAACTTAGTCTTTCTACATAACGTTCTGCTTCATGAACTGAACCTATGAAACCATGAGCCAAAATATACTTTTCCCCTTCTAAGTTATTCTTTTGGTAAATGGCAAAAAGCTAATTAATAAAGAAATTGGTAACAGAGGTGGGACTGTTGCTGTGACTAACCTGACTATGTTGTTGGGAAGCATTTGGAACTGCTTTGTGGGAGGAGTTTGAAAAAATTTGGCAATGCAAGATGGAGAAACCTTAGAATGTAGTAAGAAGAGCTTAATAGGCAATTCTGGTGGGATCTCAGAAGACCAGAATGCTGGTAGGAATGTGGACAGTAAAGATTTGGCTCATGAGGTTTCAGGTGAGAAGTTAGACTCTACTGGAAATTGAAATAGAGGTCATCCATATTAGATTCTGGGAAAAAAGAAAAAAAAACATTGTCTGTATTTGGCTCATGTACTGAGACTTTCCTGAGGCTGAATTTAAAAGTGATGGGCTAATTAATCTGTTGGAAAAAATTTCAAGACAGCACAGCATTCAAGTGTTGGCATGGATATTTTTGGCAGTTTTCAGCCAAGTTTACTGTGATAATCATGAGCAGAAAACAGTGAAATGATTTGAGAAACTTACAATTTGGCCATAGTATGTGTAAAACTTGGGCTAGGGAGAGATGGTTGTTGAAAAGATTACAGTCACTAAAGATATGTGACTAATAGGACATAACAGGTCAGACATAATAGGAAAGATGGCTTGAGGGCATCTTAGGAATTGATAAGATCACATCTATCCTGGGTTCAGATGTGTAAAAGTAAAAATTCCTTTGAGAAGAGACCACAGGGGCACCCTGATTGTATAGGGGTCCCTTGGAGGTGGCTTCACCATGCTCAGCTA